AAAGAAAGAAAGAAAGAAAGAAAGAAAGAAAGAAAGAAAGAAAGAAAAGAAAGAAGGAAGGAAGGAAAGAAAAAGAAAGAGAGAAAGGCAAAGAAATTAGATGTTCCTCATTTGGGAAATGGCTAAGATTCAGTACAAGGTCAGAAATTCCTCTTACCCCAGTTAATGTAATTACAGAAGGCCTAGGCAATTCAATCCAATCAATCAATCAAAAATAAACTATATATATGGTATGAGGTGTTAGTTTGAATTTAATTTCTACCAGAATTCTTTCCAATTTTCCCAGCAGCCTGTTTTATCCCCAGCAACTCAAAAAGTCAGAAGATATGTAGTGCCCATTAGAATTAATAGCAGTATCAACCAGAGCTAATAGAAATGCCCCTAGAGAAACAGAGGCTGATAGCAGCATCTGAAAACATGAAGGAAAAGCAGTTTTAGGTTTCTACAAGGGCACCTATCTTTGGAGCCCAGGAGAGTTATCCCTAAGAGGAATTTCATATAGGGAGAAATAAGACTTCTAGTAACCAGGAGCTATGAGTGTGTTCTTTGGAAACATGAATTCTTTCTTAGTTTGATCTCACTTTCCCCAGGGGCTTTGGGTGTGCAAGGAGATGCTTTTATGGGACATTTTAAGGAGATGTTTCTATAATGATCATCTTCAGTATACTTACTTAGTAAATGCTTTTTTTCCAAAAACTAATTCACACTGGCTAATGATAAATAGGAAGTACCTCAGTAAGGTCAGTTAGCAACAGTACTAGAGACTCCAGGCACTTAGGATTATCCCTCAAAACCCTCCTAATGGGAGATGCAGTCATCCACTTTCTGGAGATTCAGCCTGCCAATTCAAGTGAGAGATGGGAAAGTAGCCCCAAAAGGGGGGGGGGGGTTTACATATGAATGTGACCAGATATTTCTTATACTATTAGAAACAATGAATATGAAGAATACAGGGAGGCATAGGAAGACTTACATAAACTGATGCAAAGTAAACAGAATGAGGAAAACGATGTAAAAAATGAACTACAACAATGTAAGGGTATAGAACAACCACAACAAAATTTGAAACTGAACACTGTAATTGTAATGACCAAGCTTGACCCCAAAGAAAAGGTATGACAATATACTACCCAGCTTTCTTTGCATGGGTAAGGAACTAAGTATACAGAATAATGCACATGCCAGACTTGGCTAATATTGCTAACTTAGTCTTTTTTTCTTTTTTCTTCTTTGTTATAAGTGGTTTTCTGGGCAGTGAGAAGAAGGATATATCAAAAATGAAAGTTAGGTAAAGACAAAAGACATTTTTTCATGCCCTTCTAAGGAGGATGAACTTTTCTTACTAAGCAAAGGAGAGCTGCTGAAAATTTTGGGGCAGAGTAGTAACATAGACTAGATCTATGTATAAGGAAAGTTGATCTGGCAACAGTATGAAAGACAGATTGGAGAGAAGAAATTGTATAATAGAGCCTGAGTTTGAATCCTGCCTCTGCCACTTAATGCTTTTGTGATCTTGGGCAAATCACTATATGTCTCTGGGCCTTGGTTTCCACTTCTGTAAAATGATGAAGCTGTATTGATGACTTCTAAGGGCCCTTTCCATTCTGGAACTATGATTTGTGTTTCTAGCTGTTCTTCATCAGTCTCCATCTCTAGCTCTTTACTCTCTTCCTGACTTCTTAAGGTGGGTGTTTCCCGTGTTTTTCTTTGCTCATCTTTTCTTTTTCTACATTCCCTCCTTTGGCAATTTTATTCACTACCACAACTTTAAATATTCCCTTCATATAGATGCCTGCCCCTCCATGGACATTTGACAATGATATACCCATTATTCAAAACTCTTAACACTGCTACCTATGCTAGGTAGTGCAGGGAATAGAGTGCTAGGCCTGGAATCAGGAAGACTCACCTTCCTGAGTTCAAACCTAGCCTCAGACACTTACTAGCCATGTGATCCTGAACAAGTCTTTACCTAATTTTTCTTTTAGATAGATCCTTCTTCTCACTGCCCAGAAAACCACTTATAACAAAGAAGGAAAAAAAGAAAAAAAAAAGTAAGTTAGCAATATTAGCCAAATCTGGCAGGTGCATTATTCTATATACATAGTTCCTTACCTATGCAAAGAACGCTGGGCAGTACATTGTCATATCTTTTCTTTGGGGCCAAGCTTGGTCATTACAATTACAGTGTTCAGTTTCAAATTTTGGTGTGGTTGTTCTATACCCTTACATTGCTGTAGTTCATTTTTTACATTTTTTTCCTTGTTCTGTTTACTTTGCATCAGTTTATGTTTGCCTCAGCTTCTTCATCTGTGAAATGAGCTGGACAAGAAAATGGCAAACCTCTTCAGTGTCTTTGCCAAAAAACCTCAAATGGGATCACGAAGAGTCTGATGTGACTGAAAAGCAACTGAACAACAACCTTGTAACAAGTGGAGGCATACACAGGAAGATACAGACTTAGTTTCTAATATTCTTCTAATGATCATAAATTTCATGTGTGTCCAAGGCAATTTTAGGAAAGGCTCCAATTTTAGCAATAAAAAGAGAAACTGATATCACACTCTTTGGGCAATGAATAGAGGTACAACAAATCTATTTAATTTTTCTTATTTCAAACTACTCCCATCTTATTTCAGAGGACATTTGTAGGCAAAATATATGATCTATATTCAGTTGGGCAAAATTCAATGGAATTCAGACTGGAATTCTACTCCACTAGCTCCCTCATCCCTTCTCTCCAAGATAATAATCAGTAAACATCAGAATACCACAATATAAATTTCCATTCTTTCTGCGGTCTTCTTTCACAGTATCTTGCAATGCATGCACTTATATAAGTTAAAGTCAGCCATTTTAGGAGAATGATAACATCTCAAGATATTTTTGGTTCTTGTTTTTGTTTGTCATTTTTTTTACAGCAAAAAAGAAATTAAAATGAAGAAGAAAGACAGTACAAAAGTATGGCCATTCAAGTATGATCAACTTCTCCACATAGAAGACCATGATTTTGCAATGAGGCCTGGATTTGGAGGTAAGCAAAAGCTTTGGGGTACCACTATACATGAAAGCCAATTTCCTCCTCAAGCATTCCTCAATGTGGCACTAGCACAAATAGAAATGGAAAGTTGGAGCAAGAATGAAAGACGAAAAACTGGCTCTGAAGCAGATTTTTTTCTTAAATGATAATAATTCACATTTTATCATAACTCACATTCATATAGCACTTTAAAGTTTATAAAGCATTTTCTCCCCAACAACCCTGAGAGGTAGACAGTGCAAGCATTATTGTTCCCATTTTACAGAGAAGAAAGCAGACATACTAAGAATTCTATCTTACATAATTCCATCTTAAATTAAAAAAATAAATTCTCATCTTTTGACTATGCTTTGTCCATAGATAAGATCACATTACTCCTCAAGGTGAAATTGCAATGTGAGATAAAATTGGTAGTTGGTACAGAATATTAAAAAAAAAAAGTTTAATTTGCTAAAATCCTACTTCCTGCTTTATTGTGTTGTGCAGATTACCTTACATTCTCAAAAATTAAAACCAGCAGAGCATGAGCTCTGCAGGCCCTACTACACTAGGAGAGCTTTGAGTCCAGTCCTGCCAATGGTTTGTGTCAGCCATTTTTGTGTACAGCAAAACACTTCTTAAAAGAACTGTACAAGTACAAAACATGGTGACCATCAACACAAAGTTAAATGAAGAATAACCGTGAAAAATCCTAAGTGAGACTAATTTTAACTAATTTTTCAGGCTTGCTATTGAACTAGTGATGACCAAGTGTGAAGTAGGAAGCACTGCTTTATTTTCAGTTGGGACACCTATTTTCTATACTTACATTTATATATGTACATATATATGTATGTATATGTATAAATACACATATAAATATGCATATATACACATATATAAATATACATAAATATTTTAATATTGATTCATCCTTAGTCACTTTCACATGTATCTCATAAGTCTTGTCATGATTCTTAAGCCTTCTAGATATTTTTAAAACTTTTGTAAGGTAACTTGATATAAGGACTATTATTTGAGTTACTTTCTTTTTTCATGAAATTTTTTTTTCAAATTACATGTGAAGACAATTTTTAGCGTTCATTTTTTAAAATTTTGAGTTCCCAATTCTCTTTCTCCCTCCATTCATCCCTGAGAAGGCAAACAATTTGATGAAGACTATAAATGCGCAGTCATACAAAACACATATTTCCATGTTAGCCATGTTGTAAACAAAAACACAGACCAAAAAAAAAAAAAAAAACACCAAAGAAAAATAAAAAGAAAGTTTTAGAAAGTATGATTCAATCAGCATTCAGACTCCATCAATTCTTTCTCTGGAGGTAGACAGCATTTTTCATCATAAGTCCTACAGAATTGCTGAAATAACTAAGTCAGTCTTAGTTGATCATTGTACAATATTGCTGTTACTGGGAAAAATGTTCTCTGGTTCTGCTCACTTCACTTTCCAAGTTTTTCTGAAAGCATCTTGCTTGTCACTTCTTGTAGCACAATAGTATTCCATCACAATCATATGCCTCAACTTGTTCAGTCATTCCCCAATTAATGGGCATCCCCTCAATTTCTTTGCCACCACGAAAAGAGCTGCTATAAAGATTTTCATACATCTCTTTCATAAATCTCTTTGGGATACAGACCTAGTAGTGGTATTTCTGGGTCAAAGGGAATTTGAGTTACTTTCAAAATTTTATAACTTTGAAATAAACTCCTACTTTGGTTTTGTTTTGAAGTTAATTTTGCTAGGCTGAAAACACGCCGCCTAGCTAAATTTGGATAGGTTCATTCCTATCTGACGATGATTTAGAGAAGAGGATGGAGAAGAAAAGGGAATAAGCATTTATTAAATACTTCCTATGTGCCAGGCACTGTGCTAAGCACTTTACTAATATTATCTTATGTAATCCTCACAACAACCTTGTGACATGGTACTTTTTATTATCCTCATCTATTATGCCCATTGTTATCCCCATTTTATAATTAAGACAACTGAGGCAGGAAGAGGTTAAATGACTTGCCCAGGATCATCCAACTAATAAGTATCTGAGGCTGGATTTGAAATTAGATCATCCTGACTCTATGTTCAATACTTTATCCACTGTTATAACTAGCTGCCTCAAAAGCAAGTTATTAATCAATATACTAAAACACAGAAGGGCTGGAATTTGCAACAGTAGTACCTATACCAATGAATTCACAAATCCTTGAAATAAATAAATATTAGTAGTTGAACTTTGTTGCTAGTGCCATTATTTGTAGGACAATCATTTGTCAAATGCCATTGCTGCCCATGGACTGAGTTTTTTTCTCCCTTTGGTAGTCTGATGAAACCTACATACATCTTCATGAATAATGTTTTTTACAAAACAAGAACGTTTCCATACAAAGTGGGTCAGAAAAAAAGATTATGTATGAAAATGTGAAAATTTATTATTTTACAGTTTGCTTTTAAAAATATAATAAATTAAACATATTTTTAAAAAGAATAATGTCTTTTAATGTATAAAACAACACATAGGGTTACAAGAAACAGTTATCAAAATATTTAAAAAAACAACCAGGTTAAGAACTCCTGCTTTAATTTAAAGGCACCTACCTATTTGCAGTTTCATATAGAATCCTTTTTTTTTGCTCTGCTCTGTGCATGAAAATGCTCCTTTTCTGATGTTTGGATACAGAATTTTTTTTAAAGGACCTCCTATTTGTAATGAATGAGAGCTAAACCCTGACTAAAGACAAAAAAATGAAATATATGACTTCTCAAAGCTTCTTCACTCTGCATGAATTTCTGAAGTGAACATGACCACATGTGGAAAGGGAAATAGGATCTTTTTTTTTTTTTCACAGCGGCACAATGAAGATATAGAACTAGCTGGTAAAATAAATCCAGGAACCCCACTTCATTTTTCTGGCTCCCTGAAGGATGCGGGGACCCATCCTGCTTGCTCCTGTTCCACTCACACTCCCAGACTTCCTGACCTGTTAACTGCTATTTTAATGTTGTTTGGAAACATGAATTTAAGGGATGTGCGAGAAAGGGTTTTCCTGCAATTAAACAAGCACAGCTGCATCCGTAATCATAATCGTGAGGCCTGTGGGAGGGAGGAAGCTTATAACTTTTCAGTAAAGCTGTTGTCATGGTGACAGTTTTGGGCCAGTAAAGGATAGCAGGCAGATGGGCACAATATAGGATGCATTTGCTCATCTGCTTTAGCATACAATGCATTCAATGTGGTTCAATGGAAAGAATGCTGGATTTGTAATTCGAGGACTTGGATTTGGTTCCTGGCTCTGTTACTTATTACCTCTATGACTTTCGAGAAGTTATTTTCCCTCTCTGGGCTTCAATTTCCTCATCTGTAAAACGGGAAGCCTGGACTAGATGACCTCTGAGGTCCTTTCCAGCTCTAAATCTATAATCTTAAATCCAGTTGCTGGTGGGTATGATGAAAAGTATGCCTGTGACCATTAAGTTACATTTAAAATTTTTCCCAGATGCCACATGGACCCCAGATTCTCAGTTTTATTTTATTAGCTGTGCAAAATTGGAGTATAACTAGACAGAAGGTTTTTTGCTTTATTTTGATTTGGTTTAGGGTTTTTTTGTGTTGTTTTTTGTTTTTGTTTTTTGCTGTTCTGGAGCCCTGGAGCAGTCTTGTTTCAAGATCCTGGAACCCTTTAAATTGAGCAATAAGTAGAAATTGCAAAGAAGCAGATTTCAGCTTCCTTCCAATAGGCAGCTGAGTGATGTGATCATAAAGCTCTAGACTTGGAGTCAGGAAGACCTGAGATCAAACGTAAGCTGAGACACTTACTAGCTGTGTGACCCTGTACAAGTCACTTACTTAATTTCTGTCTACCTCAGTTTCCTCAATGAAAAATGAGGATAATAATAGCACCTACCTCCCAGGGTTAGGATAACATGAGACAATATTTATAAAGTACCTGGGACATAGTAAGTGCTTAATAAATGTCACTTAACTAATGTGAACATACACTTAATATGAATGTATAAGTAGAGCCTATATCAGATTGCACAGCATCTTGGGGAGGGGGAGGGAGAAGGAGGGGGAGAAAATTTAAAACTCAAAATCTTATGGAAGTGAATGTTGAAAACTAAAAGTAAATTAATTAATTATTAAAAACAAAACAAAAAAATAAATGTCAGTTAAATTTTTTAAAGAATTTCTAACAATTAGAGAGACCTCAAACTGGAAGGGATTATCTCAGGAGACAGTGGGGTTTACCCTCACTGACGTCTTCAAGCAAAGGCTGGAGGACCACATGCCAGGCATTTTTATAAAGGGGATTCTTATTCAGGTATGAGTTGGACTAGATGGGCTCTAAAGTCCCTTCCAACTCAGGGATTTTATAAGCGGTTATGTTAGGAACATAACATCAGGGCTAGAAAAGACCTTCTCGACCATCTCATCCATCTACCTACTGTCTCTCATTTTTATAGAGAAGGAAACCATGTCTTAGAGAAGGTAGGTGACTTTGAAAAGCTACATCTAGCAAGTCAGAGACAAGACTAAGCCCAGGTCCTCTTGGTTCCCAATCCCTTCTCAATACTTTATGTTGCCTCTCTGAGTTGTACATGGAATTTTTTTTTTTTGAAACTGGATTTCCCTGTGTCACTCGGGTTAGACGTGAAGCAGCCATTCACAAGAATGATCCTACTACTACTTAGCATGGTTCAGATTGGGGCTGTTTGACCAAGAATAGGCTGGAGTCAGTTACTACAGGCTAGAGCTGATTGTTAAATTTTCAATGTAAACATTTACATGTCAGAAATCCACAGACTCTACAAATCAGGACTTAATTTACTGTTCTGCTGATTGTCTCCACTCAAGAAAGTGATGGAGAAAATTTTAGTAATGCAGATTAATTTAAATATGCTGTTCATACTTTTTTCCCCTTAGAGCCAATTGTTTCCTATTTATTAGCACACAACTGGGTTCAACTCTCCTTAGCCCAGTGGTCCTCTGTTCTCAGGG